AGTATTCTACGGTAGGTACCCCCTTTCTGGCCGTTTTCTAGGAATTTCACGTTTTCTTTCATTTTTTTTGAAAAAATGACACAAACAAAAAAGTCTTAGTTTTCCGTTTTACACTTGTGTACCAAGTTTCAAACTGATCCGTCATAAATAAAAAAGTTTTTCTGGGACCCAGACGCTTCACTTATTGATGAACATGCCTCGTACGTTGTGAGCCAGAGGTTGACTTCGCACTGCAACAGGCTTCTCCTTCTACATGGGAAAGTGAAAGCTATTATTTCAACTCTAAAATACGCGTAATGTGAAATGAGTTTTGAGGATAAGTTATTGCATTCATGATTTCTAAAGCTATACGTAGATCATTTGCAGAGGTGATTAGCAGCGCGCTACATGTAGCGGCCGCTACTAGTGGCCGCTACATTTTCAGTTGCGGTAGCGGTAGCGGCGCTACATTTAAGCAATTGTAGCGGTAGCGGTAGCGCCCGCTATATTTTTAAGTAGCGATACGAGGTTTTGCCGCTATAGCGCTACCGCTACATTTATAGATGAAGCCTTTAGATTCTACTTAATAGTATTAAATATTATTTAAAAACCAGCATGATACATACATAATATAAATTACAGAATATAACTGTACGAAAGATTTCGGTGTAATGTTGTCAACCTCAGCCTGTTATGTCAACATGTTAGTTGTTACCAGAGGTGAACAGTAGCGCTCGCTCTACATGTAGCGGTAGCGGCGCTACATTTAAGCAATTGTAGCGGTAGCGCCCGCTACATTTAGGGAATGTAGCGGTAGCGGCCGCTACATTTCAATTAAGTAGCGATGCCCAGCTATGATCATTTGTTACAATTACAATTTAACATGTAATTTACTGCTGATAATCTTGCAACATCTTTCGAACTTTATTTTTCTACTTATTCAAACACGTTCTTCCATTTTTAATGCAACAGATATTAAAAAAACGAGCTCATACATGGAAAAAAAACTTTATTTGCAATCTATGAAAACTGCATAAAGCACATGAATGCGCAATTCGTCACGTACCGAACGAAATTTTGCTGTGAATAAACCAGAAGCTGTTTTTCTGGGCTGCGTTGCTATCTGCAGAGTGTATTTATAACCGCGCCACTGAAGCTATTTATTCGAGCGATTAAAATACACTAAGAATAATTAAGCGAAGTCGTAGAAAGTCTGGCGAACGCCTATTAGAAGCGACACACATAGCGGCATGGGCGGCTCAACTGCTACGATATAATTAGGAGAGTTTTCATCTGGCGCGAGCCCCTGATGGTCCAGGTTGGCACGTGATCTGGAATGCGATGAGATGCCAGGCTCCCAATCCAGAGAAATTTCGCCGGCTCGTTTCAGTAATCGCAAGCTGGAGAGTACGCATTGACTTTCTGGACAAATGAACTTTCTGCAAAGTATGCTTTGACTCTCAGGACAAATGAACTTATTTTCTGGTCCGTATTCTTCACGCTCCATCATTCTCTGGGTATCTGTTGATATAGGTCTTGCAGTGATTTAGAATGGAATTGAAGGATTTTAAAAAAAGTAGGAATTTCAAGATTATTATAAAGCAATCGTTAGGATAAAATATTTTATGAAAAACATTCGCGGATAGAAATAGAGCAATGTTTAAGTCATGAGGTATGAGTCTGATAAAGGAAGCATTGCGGTTGCTGTTCCTGGACTTCATCGCAGCATCCATCTTCATGATGTAAAAAGTCCAATTTCTGACAAATTAATGTATATACAAAAATCCTGTGATTTATTGTGAGGTATTATGCATTCATTTTTGTGTGCAAATATTGTTTTATCCAGTATGCAATTTACGTAACGTTTATAGCCCTACAATGTCCGCATAACGAATATGTATAAAGGGCTGTAGAACATGAAGGCAGTTTTCCCAACAGCTGCCGAGGCGTCGCCATCTCATTAAGAAAACGTCGGTCGCCTGATTAAGTCAGCCAGAAGCATTTCAGATTAATCCAATTTGGTTTGACATTCGAATTACCATGAGCCGCGTTCAGGAATTTTGCCATTTAACAATAAATTCAACGTCGAAACTCGAAATTAAATCTTGGCGCTGAACAACCCGCTAGAGAGATCGGGTTAATGAGGTATAGCTCGCATTAATTTGTAACAATTAATGAAGACTTCCTTGTTTGAAAAATAAATTCATAAACTGTCGTTCTTTTTTTTATGGAATATTTGCACGAAATTTAATTTTAAAATTACTTCTAGAACTTTAATTCTGAAAGTGGTCGTAAATACGATGTGAAAAAGAATACTTCTTGTTAGTTATCGTTTTAATTATCGAACTAGTATCGCGCGCAGTTTCTAAACATAAACACTTTATTAATCTCTTTATTCCTGCATCGCAATTACTGTCCCCTTTGGTACTTGAAGTACAGACACGTGCAGAATAGATGACGAGAGCTCTTCAGCTTTGGGCGGCGGTCCTGCGAAATTTGTGGAACTTATAGTGCATAGAGTACCAGCGCTGCCACTGCGAGTTTCCTTTTTAAATGCTAGACCACTTCAGGATGTGATAAAACAGAATGTTATTTCCTGATTACGTGCCACCAGTTTATTTTTTCTAAAGCAATCCAGAAACATTTTAATTTGTATTTTTTAGAGAAATGTTTCTTTGTATGATTTAAAAGTTATTTTAAATAACACACCATCTAACAACTTAAAAACATTTTAATAAATATAGAAAACTATTGATGTCATGACACGAATAGCTACGAATAAATATAGTAAGCTATTGAAATCTAAATAGTTCCGCTAATGAAAAGTTACAGACTTTCATTTAAATTCAATCAAATTTAGACTGCTTATATGTACTTACGACTGTATAATGTATTATAAATAATTTCAAATCATTGACTATCTCTTTGTGATTCGATGGAAATTTATGGAATAAAACACGGCCTCGTTCTAAATGTGAATAAGCTTAAAGAAAAGCCTAAAAAATTAATCATGCCACTAGATCATGCCACGGGACGTACGTGATGTCGTTTGTTGCTCGACCGCAGCCCCGCCTCGTGGGGACATCGGCAATTATGAAGATGAATTCGCTGCTGCCTTTGCTGGTCCACCCGAAAAGTGGCTGGGAACTTGCAGAGGCTGCTATCTATTTGGCAAGCCCAGGGACCAATCCTCGTGATTGGGCTGTCCTACCCAAGTAGTGTCTCTGACAACCGTCAACTTGAAGCGCTAGATCTAATGTATATCTTCATAAAAGCAAGTTTTTCAGTATTACATAAATGCAACATCAGGTCAATTTCTTGCCCAACATTAGTTCGTTTGATATAGAACAATGAATTTAACGGACCAAATGAGACGAATGAATTGGCAGGTTAGTGGCCAAAATTATTCACTAAGGAGTGAATAAGTGATTGAGAAAGTGATGAATAAGTGATTAAAAAGTGATTCTTCAATAAAAAATTGAAATTTTTAAAGAATACCCTTCATAATTGCATCACTTTTTATTAGGAGCACATCTTGGTTTAACATTAAAAAAAGTTTCTCAATTGACTAAACGTACTAAAGTTCCCAAAATGTAATACCTATCAAAAATCCGGCAGGACACACCCGGGGTAAGTTTTTCCTGTAGCCGTCAAAAAGAAAAGAGAAATTTATCCAAAGATTAAATAAAATACATGTGATACATAGGACAACTATCAAAATACGGATGTATGTATGATGATTGACGTCCTAACTTGACTTCTTGCGTGGTGAGACATGAATGTGAATTGACGTACATACAGAGAGAATGAGCCGAGAGAAAATGACTACTTCATGTGTGAATGTGGTGAACTATGATGAACTTGCTGCAATGTGGTGCCTTTGAGAGAAATGCGGGTGATGTGATGTGTGATGCGGGAGATGATGGTTCGATGTGTTAGAGAGGAGCGAAGGGTAGCAATGATTTCTGTTGGTTGATGACAACAGACGTAGCTGTGAATCAATTTAGACATGAAAAAAATATATATTTAGTGTTTTTATAGAATAAGAAAAAAGCGGAAACGGTAGACGCGACGGCAGTTTAAAAAAACGCAAAATAGTAATAAGTACCAATTGCCCACCCAGACTGAGCCTTAGTATTGAAGACATCTTTAAATTATTCATAAATTTGTCGAGTAGATAATAAGTTGCACTTTAATGTCTTTAAAAACCAAAGTGTATTTCTAATTAAGAATTTTCTATTGATTTGCTCGCATCGGCTAATTTAACTATTGATGCGATTTGAAAGTTCGAATAGTAGGTATCCAAAGTAGGTATCACTTACAAAGTTTCGAATACACATTATCATTTTTCTAACTTGTATTAATAGTTGCTGGAACAGACAAGCAACCATACAAATGACCGACCTAGGAGCCATCACACCACTAACCCTAAATTCTGATCATTTCAACATGCGACACGTAACTTTTCAGGGTGCTCAATCCGAAAACACCACTAAATTTAATGCTAGAACTGTCAATTTTTTAACTGGTGCATCAATATTTGTTATGTCTTACATGGTTGTTCAGCTGTCGCGACATTCTCTACTCAAGTTTTATTTCCAAAGATACAAGATTCCTTTTTATATGAGTTCCATGCACAGTAATTTCACGTTTTTCCTCAAGCTACCTTCTTGTTGAATTTTTGATATATCACTTTGGCATATCTATTAGCAAATAGCATTCATGAATCGTGCTTAGCAGTTTCTAAATTCGAAATGAATCAAAATGGCAGGCTGGTCACAAAATTCATATACAGGAATGAATTTGAACCAAATTCTGACTCAAATTCTTCAATTAGTGTTTAAAATTTATACTAATTGTTGAAGTAAATGGATGGAAGATCAGATATACTGCTTACTGAAAAGTAAAATTAAATTAAATTTCACCCTTTCAAGTATAAACGGCAGTCACATCGTAGCAGGCGAAAGGGTGCTCCTACTGACAGCGTGCATTCCTCGGTGACTTATATTGGTCGCACATTGACCATGGATCCTCATTACTCTAGTGACGTCAGTCTAATGCGGTATAGTTACAACTTACACCAGTTCTGTAGTTGTAGTACCTAGTGCCCCTGTAAGGCTGTATCTGTATGTGTTACGGGCATCAATACTAGAATTTCTAGAAATCCATATGCCCTGGCACTAAATGTCGTCCTGTTTAGACGCTGCGCAGAAAGCTGCTGCTGAGGTAATGTACAAACTACGAATGAACTATACGGACATAATTTTGATTGATTAACCGTTAACGTAGTTTATGAACTTATGAGTCGGTTTGAATCTTGATTTGATGAATTACGGTTTCGGTTCTGAACTTCTGAGGTTACGGCAAATTTGTTCTGCTCAGTTTAACAGTTTACACTTTACAAGTTCACATTAGGCAATAGGCTTAGCCGCTTAGCTTAGGCAATGTGTGCATTGGCTATTGTTGTTAGCCTGTTAGTGTTAGCTAAGGTCATTTACTCATTTAACGATTTATCACAGTGACATAGGTCATAGGCCTAGCTAGTGTCTAGTGACAGATCAGGCTATCCAACTATGAACTATTAGATTTAGCTAATTAGAATTGTTAGGCTACAAACTTAAAATTGTAGTAGGCTACCGCTACACGTCATTGACGTCAATAAAGTGACGTCATTATCAAATAAAACAAGATTACATTTTTGCAGTTTAGGACCTGATTGTTCTTATTAGCTGCCTGAATATCTACCTATGTCTTGAAATGAAATGCATGATATAGGGATTAAAAAATGTAGGTAGGTAAACAATTTTTTGGATGTATTTTTCAATAGACACTGACAAAAATATATAGCTATTTTCTGAATTTTGAGAAAAAAGTAGACAAGTACCGTAAAATGGGATTACTTTGACTGGTGGGGTAACTTTGACCACTTTTTGTTTTTTAACAAAAACCCCCAAAACTCAAAAACAATTTGACATAGAAAAATTTTGTCAATGGCCATCAATTTCAAAGGCCTAGGGTAAATGCGGTATATTCCGACATCGTAGGTAATTCCGTCACTTCTCTAGTTTTTCCTTTATATTAAGCTTTGTTTTAGTTCCATGCGTTCATTGATGGTTGAAATGGTGACGTCATACATTTGCGTGTCGAAATAC